CAATAGGAGATCATCCTGCAGCCACCGCACCTCTTCAATTGGACGCCTTCACCAAATCCTTTGCACACGTGACACATGGTCGCATAGAAGCACAGGTCATATACGTTAGAAACTTTTCCCGCTTTTGCTTTTGCCAATCTTGCCCACACAGTCGCCATAGTCTCGTTATATCGGTCTCCTTCAGTGCAAAAGACAAATATATGTACAGCGATCAGAATGTCGTGATTTCACAGGTTGCACCTGCAAGACATGAGTCAAGTAAAACGTATACCATAATTGTAGAAATAACTATCATTCGATGTGACAAATAGAAAGAATACCGTTTATGTTGGCTCTATCAAATAGAGGATTCGTGTGCACTCGCGCACGTTCTCGATCGCCTGCTTCGTGATGCGACAGTATTCGAGCGCCGAGCTTTTCCAGGCAGCTATCTACTCTGCTCTGGTATCCTGAGGCTGAAGCCTGCAACGAATAAAGCGTAGTCGTTAGATAAAAATATCGAGTGTTTTTCGAATCGCCAGACAAAAAAAAATGCTTTTGCCAATAACCTACGTTCCTAATTTGCGACATGCAGGCTTCCGTCCAAATGCATTTTATACAGAAATATCTATTGAATTTGGTTATTCCTGGCATATGTACATGCTGTTATTTAGTAATGTTAATAATCTCATTGGAATATAGACGCTCCTTGAAACGATACTCACGTAAAGAACGGCGGGAAACTTACGAGTACTGCCAAGCAAGTGATACGGCCACTCGATCTCCGCTATTGTTTTGATCGTCAACTGTCGTAGGTCGCAGGCAGCTGTCACGCTGTGACTGTCACGTGCGCGATGTGAGGAACGTCAGGAATATCGATCAAGAAGAATGAAATAATTATCTCGTAAATGCTTGATATAAAATATTACAAAGATATAAATTTTATTGCAAAACAATTAATGAAATGTCTTGTCTTCATTACAAACAGAATTGAAAGCAACACGTTATAAATCGAAGTGTATTATTTCTACACGCATAAACGTATTAAAAATGACACACATTTAACTTAATTAAGCTTACTTTACATATTTTGTTGCGTGTTAAATTAACACGTTGAATCGTATTAAATTAAAAGTTAATTTAATACGTATTCAACCGTGTTAAATGACGTGATTTAAAACGGCAAAAATGTGTAAGAAAAGCGTCAATTCAAAAATAACACACTTAGATTTGCAGAGTGTAGTCATGCCAGTCACATTAATACTTGACAATTCTATCTATTACGTTAATCCATTATGCTCGATGTAAGACAATCGACTCTACATCTAGGCATAATGTGCCCTAGGATTTTTGGATTGTAAGTATAAGTAGACATTCCGGAGTGTCTGCTTTCAGTCTATTGGAGTTTGTTTCGTGAAGACACGTCGCGATTCGCAGATGTAGTACATATATAATTTTCTCTGCGTTCCTTCCATTACATTTTTCGCGCGAACTACGTTTTCTTCGGCATAAAACACAGCCGTTAGTTTGTATCGGTCGCTTAAATTATATCAGTTATGAACAAAGACTCCTGTAGATAATTACATATTGATTTAAATAAGATACGTACTCCATCTCGATAGTTTTATATGGTTTTAAGCTGGCGAATGGATTCTTTCCGCTATACATATGGTCTACCTCTTTATTCAGGATTGTGTTTATTATGTCTGTCTCCTTTTTAAATGAATATTGCGTGGGAGACGTTAAGGCGAACGGACAATTTTGTTTCGCTAACATCTGTATGGACGACGCCCACGTTTCCTTACTACTGAACCTTCCTGGAAGTTCGTGGTTGTGAATATACAGATTAAATCCTACAACCAAGTCCGGTTTTACGAATGACGAGCTGCATGCATAGTCCTCGTATAATACCTCGTGAAACTCAAACGTCAAATATTTTTTCTCTCGTGACATACAGTTATCGTAATTATTTAACAGATTTGATTTACATGATAATTCCGGCCCTATCACTACAACTATCACCACGGTTCCTATTAAACGCGGCAAAATATCCCAAACTGTCCGGACGATTTCTTCGGACTCATTCGTACCTAGAACATGAATGACTAGCTTTTTATTACTTTTTGGGACATACTCTAATAATCGCATAACATAAAGCAAAGTTAAGGAACATGTCAGATATTCTGAGTGTTGAGCTTCCCAGACGTTGTACGACATCTCCGAGTCAGTCTTAATATTCCCAAAAGCCTTTATAAAGTCTTTCATGTTCTGAAATGTACTCGTGCAAGAAATGTGTTGTAAGTAAAAATTCAAGTCCAGAAGACTGTTTCCCTCTCGCATAGAAAATAAATCTGAATGAAGACATAGTTCCAGGGGAGCGCAGATGTCCCCGTGCTCCGTGCCGTCTTTGTGATTTTTACAAAAGCTGGCAGCACACTTCAGACAATCTTCCAACGACTTGATGTTCCGTTCGTGGCAAACTAGGCACTCTCTTGGAAAACAGAACATGTACTTCTCGTCCATATTCAGGTCACGTCCCAACCTGGACGACACCAGGTCCATGAACTGCTTCTTGACGGTCCATTTCTCCGTAGTTTCACCGCCATCGGCGCCATCATCCGTGCTGTCGCCTCGCAGCACGTCCTGTATGGCTTTGCACAAAGGTTTGTGCTGTTTCCGGTGCTGCTTCTGATGTTCCTTACCACAATAGGAGATCATCGTGCAGCCACGGCAACTCTTCAATTGGACGCCGTCGCCAAACCGTTTGCAAACGTGACACATGGTCGCGTAGAAGAAC